GGCAAACACTAAAGAAGATAAAGAGAAAATGTAAACAGAAAAAAATTATCAGCAATACAGGTGCGACAATAAAGAGATTTTAGTCATGCATAATATTATAGTCTAAAATATTGGACAGTGTCCATTGATGAAGATACACATAGACCTAGGTGAGCGACACGGGCTCTTTAAAGCCCCTAGTTTTGGTTCCCGCATCACTGCAGGTTCAGGATGAACCCTAGGATCGATTTGAGCGGAATTCTTTGTTTTATGTATATCAAGCTACATATCTCCGTTAAAAAACACATTTACGGAGTCATAACAAAAAATTAAAATTTGTAACAGAGAAAGAAATCTATTATAAATATATTAGTGCTCGGCAATTTCAAAATTAAGACATAATACGAACATTTTGATAACAGCAGGGCACGCCAAGGTATACGTTAGGTCATTTGGTAGGATATAATGTATGAATATATGTGAACTGCTTCAAGGCAAAATCATTGCACCTGTGAACTTTACCCTCATTTTTCAGTGGCTGTCCAAATTTATCACCATTCTCCCGATCAACCTACCTTTCAGAACCTACCGATTGTGTTTATTCTAAATTAGTTCTCGACAAGAATATACATGCAATATAATTGCCACTGGAACTTTTAGAAGCAACAATCAACCAATCATAGTAGCAAAATATTGCCTCTCAACGATATTCTATATAACAAACTTGTCGAGATATATGCAGTTGCGCTTTCATGGTTACAATTGAATAGATATACAATTTCAAAGGACCAAAAGAGTTTAAATTGATGTAGAAATATCCCTATAGTTTCCCCTATCAAACATATTCTCATTTGCAATTGATAGTCGAAATTATCGAAAATATTAAGACGCTGACTTACTGTCTGCTCGGATAAGTCATCAACTATGCACCAAGTTTGCCGAGTATAAGAATGCAGTGCACCGAGTATTAGCAGAAATGTTTTTTTTTTAAACTTTGTACAAGAAATGCACCTTGCTGTATTTCTTATTATATAATAATGTATTTCGCCCTTTATTCATGTCTACCAACTTTGTATAACCTACCTATCTTATTGTTTGTCAAGTTAATCTCTTTATGAAATATATGCCACTGGACATTTAGTTAATAACAGTCATTATTCAAAAATATGTTTATGCTTTTGCATCACCAGAGGATTTTTATGGGAAAGCGTAATGAATGTAAGAAGAGGTTGTAATGTATATTTAAAAACATAAACCGTTTTGTGTCGCATTATTTATTTTAAACTTAAGCGAAAGATGAGAGGAGTTTTATCAAGATATGTGTTACCCCCAAACATGTAAAAAGTAAAATAACAAAAATACCGAACTCCAAGGAATATTTAAAACGGAAAGTCCCTTATCAAATGGCAAAATCAAAAGCTCAAATACATCAAACGAATGGAAAACAACTGTCATATTCCTGACTTGGTTCTGGCATTTCCTTATGTAGAAAATGGTTGATTAAACCTGGTTTTATAGCTAGCTTAACCTCTCACTTGTATGACAGTCGCATAGAATTCCATTATATTGACAACAATGTGTGAGCAAAACAAACAGACATAATAGGTCAACATGTCAAATATTGGGGTACAGCAGTCAACATTGTGTTATAATCTTAAGACACAATTCTATGTGCGCGCTTAAATTAATTAATTGCATGATTCTTATGATGACATGCATACTGTTATGTTGATGTAAAGTACCATACATTTATACGTTTAATCTCATACAATATATAATTATACGCTTTATTCAATAAAAAAGCTTTATTGCTATCATTACATCAACCTCGGGGTGTAGAAGGCATGTGATCTGTGATCATCTCAATTTACTGACATTATTTGTTTATCCAAAACTAAGACGTCTTCTATGCAACGATTCTTATTATCAGAGGAATAATTCAACCGAGATGTTTCGCAGCCAGAATAACCGATATTAAGTGGCGAATAGTTTCATGAATATTTAATCATATTATTGAAATAAATTTGTCACAGAAAATATGATGATGAACCAGCCATTTACTCCTATTAGGTTTACATATGTAAATCATAAGAGATCTGGTAACAACTTTCAGATAGGTATTGCATTTTTTAGAAGTTTTCTAAAATAATGCGTTTGACCAATATGTAAACTGTGTAGAATTCAAATAGGAATGCTATTTGTACCATTCAGGTTTACTGCTTTCTATAAGTGCTCTCTTGAACATTTTATCATTTCGCGCCTTTTATGAATGGAAAATGAATTATTAAAAATTATCTTCATTTTTCTTTATTATGTATTTCCTTTATTATTAATTATTTTTAAGAAATGTTTCTTTCCTCTGGTCGTAACTTTTTTTTTATCTTTTGACACTGGTTTATGCATTTTGCATGAATCTGTATTTCATCTCATCATGACCTTCAATTGACCTTGAACTTTGACCACATGGTAAACATACTTATTTGTTTGCTTTGTTTTTTACATTTTCTTGTCCTGAACATAATTTTTGTATTCTTTGACACATGTTTATGATATTTGGCACATATTTGCAGTAACGCAAAATGATGCTCCTCGTTTAATAGTTTAATATGATTACTGACCTTGACTTTTTAGCTTACTTTGACCTAATATTATTTAATGAATTCGTTAAATCTTCGTATCGATTTTATTTTTCTTCGAGTGTTTATTTTTGTATTAGTTTACATTAACTTTCATTGTAACTCGCCAAATGTAACGTTGCGTGTCCCTGTTCTTGCTCTTTAGTGTAAATAGCGGAACGCGTGTTCCAATTGGGATATTCTCTTCAAGAGCCCCCTTGAAGTTTGCAATTTATTTCAAACTTTGATTTCCTGCACCAATTGAAATTACTTGGTGAAAATATTAAGACTTGATATTTTTTTAAAGTATCCATATCACAATGCTGACGTACTGTTTTCTCGGATAAGTCATCAACTATTCACCGAGTTTACCGAGTATAAGAATTCAGTGCACCGAGTATTAGCAGAAATGTTTTTTTTAAACTTTGTACAAGAAATGCACCTTGCTGTATTTCTTATTATGTATTAATATATTTCTTATTATTAATGTATGTATGCTATTTCATGTCATATGTTTATGAACCACTGTGCTTGTTATATTGAAAATTACTCATTACGCCGGAAAAGATGACTCGAAAACTCCTGGAATGTTACAGTATATTATAAATTATGTCGGTACTTGTGCTAAAAATGAAAATTAGGTCCTTTTTGTCATATAGCTCTTCAAAAAATTGAAAACAACACGTTTAATAATTTCATGCGTCCGAAGCGCTTTTCTGGATTTACCTTCATAAGGAACGCTCAAAGCCAAACATTTGAAATCCGAGGGATGTATAAGTACCCGAACAGTTGAAGAGCTATATGACTAAAATACCTAAAACAAATAGCCAAATTCAGCTAAGGTCAACTTTGCCTGAGGGAGTTGAAACCTTAGTTTCTTTATAATTTCAAAATTTATAAACGGACAATTTTAGAAAGGTTTTTTATAAATCATGTCGGTACCGAAGTACTGACTACTGAGCTGATGATACCCTCGGGGACTGATAGTCCACCTGTTTCGGTTCTTATACATCCTTGGCTTTCAAATATTCGGTGTTGAGTGTTCCTGATGAAGGCAAATCCGGAAAAGCGCTTCGGACGCATATAAGTTATAAGATGTTGTTTTTGTATTTTTTATATTTGTTGAGTCCAAAGCGCTTTTCTAGATTTAACCAAACAATTTTGAAAGCCAATGATGTATTAATACTTGAATACCTCAGGAGCTATATGAGCAAAATGGACATAAAGAATAACCATATTCACTTAAGGTCAACTTGGCCTATGGGAGTTTATTTTCTTAACAATATCTAAATTAATCAATGGAGAGTTTTTAAGAAATGTATGTCGTGTATCATTTCAGTACCGAAGCACTAATTACTGAGCTGATGATACCCTTTGGGTACTCGCTACCAGTCCAACAGCAGCGGTATCGACCAAGACCTAGGAAAAAAACCCAGTAATTTACAAATTTAAATTAAGTGTGTCCAAAGCGTTTTAAAATATTTACCTTCAGCACGAACGCTAAACACCTATTTCTTTTTAAAGCCAAGCTTATATAAATACTTGAATAATTGAGGAACTATATATTTAATAGAATATTTAAGGTGGTACTTTGACAGTAAACTCATCATAGATACCAGGATTGAAATTTTATATTTGCGCCAGACGCGCGTTTCGTCTACAAAAGACTCATCAGTGACGCTCGAATAAAAAAATGTTAAAAAAAGCCAAATAAAGTACGAAGTTGAAGAGTATTGAGGACCAAAAATTCCTAAAAGTTTTGCCAAATACAGCTAAGGTAATCTATTCCTGTTGTAGATAAGCCTTAGTATTTCAAATATTCAAAGTTTTGTAAACAGCTTATTTATAATTATGACCATATCAATGATAATTCATGTCAACACAGAAGTGCTGACTACTGGGCTGACACTTTGACAAAAATATAAAAAATGTTAAAAACTTGAACCACACACTTAATCGGAAAAATTTCATTGGGTAGATAGCAGTTTGACAAACACTTAATTTGATCATTGAGAAGCTTAATATTTCCTTAACAATAGAACGTGATTAAAACGTTCAGCTGATTTTTAAAGAGTTATCTCCCTGTAGTGTTATGGACCACCTTAATAGCAATATTACTTGACAGGAGCTTCTCAAAGCATGACTTAAACATTAAAAATACTTCTTTTATTTTATGTATTAATAAAAAGTTGTTATTTAAATTGTATGTACTTTATTGACAAAGAACTCAAAATAGATATAGATTCGTTTACATACATGTACCTCTGAATATGCGAAGACATTTTTACTCCTTGATAAACCCATGGAAGTACTTCAATATCATTAAACAGTTTGCTATTTGATAACTTTTAAAGTAAAAATAGATTTCAAGAAGGCATAAAAGAATAAGAAAGAAAGATACCTGAAATCATTAAAAACAAATTTAATAAACGAATGCAAATTTTACAGCACAAATCAGAAGTAATACTGACATTATATGGCAGATCTAAATGTTTTTTTTTATAAATTATATATAACAAATATCCATAACCAATTCTTATGGAACAATGGAGTCTTACAAAAACTACGACATGGTTACTCTAAAAAAATCATGGAAGACGAGATTCACGTTAAAATATCTTAACGTTTATGTGTATAACAATCAATTTCAATACATGTTGCGCTTTCATGGTTAAAATATCACGAATAGATAAAACTCACAGTTAATGCTTATGCTCTGGAATTAATACATTATCTGTTAGTGTAATTGCTATTATTTTTCGTACTCAAGAGTATTAACCTGAAGGTTTAAAATGCAAGAAACGGTTAATCTATAGTTGATTTTTCTCATTATTTATACTGTTGTGGCGTATTATTTTTTCAAAGACAATCGAACAAGTTATTTCATGATATATATCCGCCAAATATGTTATGTGAGAGCTATTTAAGTAATCGCTTACACAAGCCTCACATTGCTCTTAGAATGACTTGAATTTGCATACATGCTGATGTAAAGTATATGTTAAAGTTCATATAATGCATACATATAAACTTTATATTTTTACATTTGGAAGTTTATTGCTAACATTGGATCAATCTCGGAAGGTGTGGATGGCAAGTGATCTCTATTTACTGACATAATTTGGTTAATCAAACTATCATCATCGGCCAAGGCGTCTTCTTTGTGAAGATCATCATCAGAGGAAGAATTCATTCGAGATGGTCCGTAGCCTGACTCTCCTGAATTAGTTCTAAATGGTTCATGATATTTTGGATTTTTCTCAGATGACTCTGGCGATGGAGGAATAACAGATCCTAAAAGCGGAATAGTTTCATGTTGATGAATATTTGTTAAATTAGTAGTATACATCATATTATCAGGAAAAGTTTGAGGATGAAAACGCGGATGATGAACCGGACATCTTTGTGTAATAGGTTTATGTATTTTGCAGGAGTCTTGTTCACAAATTTTCGATATACGATCGAATGTTTTTGGAGAAGTGAAATGATCCATACCATCAAAACGATCTGTAGAATTTCGAATAGGAATATTAAGGGTATCAGCAGAAGTTGGTACTTGCATTTGGAATATTTGTTCAATTCGTTTTACTACTACCTCTAATTCGGATCTTATTTCACACAATAAATTTTTATTAAAGTGTTTATAGTTTATATTCATTTTTTTTATCATTTTGTAGAAATCTTTTGTAAGACGGATCGTTTTGAACTTTTGCAAACATGACCATCTAACACGCTTTGCACCTTTTATGTATGGAAAATAAACAAGAAAAATATTTTTCAATTTCCTTTTTGAAATTGATTCTATAATTTCTTTATATTTTTTATCCTCTGAAATCCTCATTTTGAACGACTCATGTTCAACAGGAAGTAATATAAGAATAGTTGAATTTTCATGACCATATTTCAAATTGTTGCGGCGAAGAATGCAGTCATTTTCAATCCCAAATTTTGCAATTGCGCTTTCCAGCTGTATCGCAATAACTTCATCAGCATAATTGGTGTTTGAAATAATAACATACTGGTGCTGTTCAATGTGTTCGCTATCATTATCTGCAAAAATTAAAAGTATATATTCTAGTTTAGAAAAGGTTAATATATATACGTATGTATACTGCATGATATTGTAAGAATAATACATAAATGTAAATCAAGATCAAGGGAAACACATGCTACAAGAAAATTAATCAGTATACAACATAAACAAAAACATTGCTGAAGTGTTTTTTAAAATCTTGACGTGTCGGTAGATTGTTATGGTGGTTTTCATCTTTGGAAGACGGTCTTCAGATCAGTTTATCATAAATAAATAAAACGTATAATATATATTTTCATATAGCAAAGATTACCTTTTGGACACCTTTTTTAATAATTAGTTATCAGAACTGAAGTAATCAGAAGTGTAAAATCAGATTTTTGTTGAAACACTTCAACTTATCCTTTTTTATTTAAAAAAAGGTAGTATTTGATCTTATTAGCCTAATTAAACTGATAAGACACAACAGTTTAAGTAAATTGCAACTGTTTATAAACAGTACTCCTCATAACTTATCACAAGTAAATTAAAGAGTTGACAATGCACTCTAGTTAATTATAAACTGAATTTATTATATGGTACTTGCCCTTCTGAATCAATATGACATATGTATATTATAAAGTAGCTAGTATCTGCTCTCGTGGAGTAGTGATGTATCAGTATTAAGAGCACATTAACTACCTATGTTTTCTAAATATGAATTACAAGGGATACGTGATATAAAGTTTTATTTCAATCGAAATATGAAAAATGTTTGGCAATCGTCGCTAGCTCAGTAAATTAAAATACTCACTAGATATATTTTTTCGTCTTTTCTTTAGCCAAGCCAATGTTATTAATAAAATTACTGCTAGACAAATGCCGGACACAGTTGCAAAAATGGTATGAATCGTTTTTTCATTTATGCTATTTAAATTTTCGCTTGCTTCTGAAAAGTAAATACAAATCTTTGATAAAGTGTTGATCAAATAACCATAAACAAAACGAGACAACAATTAATAATAAAAATCATGAACAGGTCAACATACAGTTATAAATTATTTCATTTGAGAAGTACTTGTGCGAATCAAACAAAGGACATAAAAACACCACTTATCTTACAATGCATAGGAGAAAATATGAAAAGGTCACATCTTCCACTGTTCCATCTTTCGATTGGTACACCACAAAGTAGTTTAAATCTACTAGTATTAGATATAGAAAAAAAGTAAAATAACAAAAATACCGAACTCAAAGGAAAATTCAAGACGGAAAGTCCTTTATCATATCGCAAAATCAAAAGCTCAAACACATCAAACGAATGAAAAACTACTGTCATATATATAATATTTGAGATATTCACAAAACAATAGATAGCACATGTACGTCCGCTATCAGTAATATTGCATTTAAAATTTCTTATATAATCGATTAAGGTTTTTGCTTTTAAAGTAGGAATGGGGTTTCGCATCTTGGCCCCGGTGGATTTTTCAAATATGAAAGTTATTGTTCAATAAAAGACAGCTGATGACTAATTAGGCCTTCAAAGTGGATTTATATGACAATCAAGATTATTTTTTTTATATTTTTTGGTTTATTTTTCTGATTGACAGTCCGTATTTTAATATCATGACCGGCAATCGGTTCAGAAGTTATAAAAATATTTACAAGCAAATTTTTTTTTCACACAAACTTTTTAAAAAAATTACGGAAATATGAGATGAAAGACATGATTTTTATTTGATTTTTTTTTTAAAAACATGTAAATAGTTTCAGAAAAGGTATCACTGCAAAGGATTGAAATTCTTCTTTTGGTCAAAATTTAAGTGTATATTGCTACCCTCGCTGTTCGGAGCGAGGGTATAACAACGAAATACGACAAAAAGACAAACAACAGTCTACAATACACTACAGTGCAGAGAAAGATTAAGGACTGAGTAATAAGACCCCAATCAAAAACCGGGGTCGATCTCAGTAAATCGTTCATCAATTATTTGTTGTGATGTTCATTTTATATAACATGAAAGTAATAGAAAATGAGGTACAAATCGTAATAAAATATAATAACATTTTACTTTGCCAACGTGTATCATTTAAGTTTAGGACATAAATCATTACGTTACTACTCTGTAAAGTTTTGTTTTGTAGCGTCAAATTGTGTTTTATTGTTTCTACTGCAACCAACACGATACGTACCTATAATAATTTCGTGGAAACTTTTGTACTCGATACATGAATGGTCCTCTCTACAACACTTAACCTTAAAAAAAGACAAATATTGTTGTAGATTTAATCCTTCATTATACTGTTAAAAAAAAGAAGGCCAGGATACAGGACTAAAATGCACAAGCCCGGCATGAGACGGTTACAGAGTGTCAGTAAAGGAAAATTGATTCAGTGTACACCCAAAACGATTGTGGTCACAACACTGTGTCTGATACGGCATTGTGTTAGAATGGGCTTGAAACAGTCACATTTATCCAAAAAAATATCTCATTACAAAACGTTAATAGATAGTCTTTGTAAAGAAAGTCATTCACTTGACGATTACTATTATAGCAAGAAACAAGAATTCATGAAGAAGAAAAAATAACTACAAGAAATTATGTACAGGTGCTAGAAGTAGTGTACATATTTTGGGGGATATCAGCAAAAAGCATCACAAGTAAAAACAAAAGAATGATTATGATTTATTTGTTATTGTAAAGTATCGTCGACAAACACAACTACACATTAATTTAAAAACAATTTATAAATTTGGTGCCCCCGAATTTGCAACTGAATGAATATTTTAATAAACACTTATAAATATACATGGCTTTTTCTAGCAATGGCGTTGTCAGTTTATTTTCGACTTATGAGTTTGAATGTTCCTTTGGTATCCTTCGCCTCTCTTTTAAATTTTGTACGCCAGGTGCGCGTTTCGTCTACATTAGACTCATAAGTGGCGCCCGAATCAAAACTGTTGAAAGGCCAAACTAAATACGAAGTTGAAGAGCATTGGAAATCCAAAACTCCAAAAGGCTATCTATGCCTGCGTGTAGAAAAACCTCAGTGTTTCGAAGAAATCAACATTTTATACACAGATTTTATTTACAGAAAATGAACGTATTCATTTATATTTCATGTCAAACATAAGTAATGGCTATTGGGCCGGTGATACCTTTTGGAACAAAACGTCCATCAGTAGCGGCATCGACAAAAGGTTGTAAAAACTCATCATCGATACCAGGGTTAATAATTTGGTCAACAAGACTCGCCGGTAGCGCTCGAATCAAACGATCAATGTATGGTGTAGGTCATCCTATTTCTCTTGTCTAGCGAACCTGGCGCACTAATTGGGATAAACAATTTCAAGTTCGTCCTAAATTGTTAACTTTAATAATTTATATACTCGTGTTTATTTTGAGATGTTAAATTTCTTTTGAGTTGGGAATGATGCGACATTATATTTCAAACGGTTCAATTTTACTAGTTTATGATTCGGTATTATATAACTACAACTTGCAGAAAATAGAAATAACGATATTCAAAGCATCTTTCGTGTGTATGAAACAGACTCCACATTTTGAGATCGATTAATATGTGTTTGCCTTACGTACAGTAGCTAATGGTTGAACGCATGTTCAGGACAGGACGAGTTCAAATTAACAAGGAATCCAATAGGTAGGTCTGGGACTATTATTCTTATATATTATGTCCCACGGTAGGTTCTGCAAAGTTGGAAATTAAGACTGCCATTGTTAAGACGGATAGTGACGGAAATTTGCATTGCAGCAGGCCAGGCATGGACCCTCAAAGAGATGCTAAATGGATGGGTTCTTCAATCTGCGCATCCTACATTTTGCATCGGATTTAAAGTGTACTCAATCCTACCGAACGTGTCGGTGTACTGCGAGTACTCTCAGATCTGTACTTAGTATTTTTTATGGGGATGTATGAGTACCCTGCCACGTCCACTCTGTGTTTTTGTTAGATGTATTTCAGCTTTGTATCCATCTTTCAGATGAGTTAAGCCCTTTTCAACTGATTTTTATAGTTTGTTCTTATGTTATACTGTTACACCACTGTCCCAGGTAAAGGGAAGGGGGTTGGCGCCTTCAAACTATTTTAACACCGTCACATTCAAGTAGTTCAGTGGTTGTCGTTTGTTGCTGTATATCATACTTGTTTTTCGTTCATTATTTTGTACATAAATCAGGCAGTTAGTTTTCTCGTTTGAATTGATTTACATTTGTCATTTCGGGGCCTTTTATAGCTGACTATACGGTATGGGTTTTACGCATTGTTGAAGGTCGTACGATGACCTATAGTTGTTAATGTCTGTGTCATTTGGTCTCTTGTAGAGAGTTGTCTCATTGGCTTTTTTTTACCTATACATCGTTATTACTTTATAAGTTAAAGCGTCGAATTTCAAAATTGCCGTTTAAGTACTACTTAGTCCGAGTTATATTCAGCCTACGTTGGTGCATCGTTGATAGAAGCACGATTAATACTTTTCAAAATTTTCGATATAAAGTGTTCAATTACCAATTTTATACGTTAACTAATTCTTACCTCAATTACATATTGTCCAGGTGGAAGATTTTTGAAGGTATGGTTTTGCAAGGCAGTTTTCTGAAAAGAAAATAAATGTTATTATAATTGTGACTTTAAATGAATTGAATTTATTATGGTATTTATCAAAACTGCCGGGTAGTATCATTAGCAAAGAGAGGTAAGTATCAAATTAATAGTTAAAGCGGCATTCGAGGGTTTTATCACGGATATTGATGAAAATTGCCCTAACCGGAATAAATTTTCATACATGAGTTTTTGGAAGCAATAAATATTCTACTATAGCAGCGGGGAGGGAAATCACTAAATTAAATTTGAACGAAGTTTGTAAGAATAAAAGGGATTAAATGACATGTGTAATTGATAAATTATCTATATATTTAATCTACTTAAAATGCATGTAATATTTGCCGCTAGACGTTTGAATCTTGTATATCATAATTCCTACTTTGCAAAAATCGGTAATATTGAAACATACTTCATATTAAAATTTTGATTTGCAATTAAAAAATGTTTCTTAAAAGTAAAATGTTTTAAAACTTTAAAACAAATTGAAGCCTTATCACAAATCATACAAGCTGATTTATATGACATTTAAGTTTGAATTGAATTAAAGAAAATGTGCCGATTCTTAATCTATGTAATGGAAATCTCTTGTGCCGCATTAAGATAATCTTCGCTAGCCAATGGTTACGATCCAGTCCCTTCCTCTCCACCCTTATTAAGATTAAGATAGAATTTCGGATCCACGAGGTAATGATTTCCATTGGTAGCAATTGTAACTGGTTGCATCCAATCAAAAAGCGCCTTTAAGATTATCTACCGGTAGATGGCGCAACATTGTCATCACAAATGTTGGCTTCATCTGCCAAGAGTGGAGAGGAAGGGACTTGGTCGTAACCCTTGGCTAGCGAAGATGCATTACGATCGAAATATTGCCGAGCTGCTCGAGAACACTTTTCAATATATGTTTAACATATTTCAATTTTAAAAAATGTTAAACATGGCTTGTATAGAGTTGTTTCGTTTCCTCTATTGATTCACATACTACGCTTTGCTCACCAACTAGGCATATCGCAATATGAAAACAATCTTTTTGTAAGTTTATGTTTTCATATAATATGTGCAAGTAGACAATAGTTAAGTCGAAGCGATCAAACATAATATTAGATGGAAGTAAATTTGAAATAATGTGTCCTATTTTCTTTGTTGTCAATCACTGTACTGCAGGAGGGATTAGTATGTTTTCATAGTTTGATTAAATTCCCATATCATTACGTTTTCCCAGTGATCCTTTACTAGAAAGAAGAACTGGATAATCACATAGATTGAAATACTTAGTTAAAACACGGATTATAATATATATATAAATCTTTACAGTTAAAAATACGTAATTAAAAAGTTTTTTTTAACTAAATATGATGGTAAAAGAAATCCAAAACATTAAGGTTATTGGTACTTTTTTTATTCAGACTCTAAAGCGCTGAATTTGTTGTATTTAGCGAATAACTGTTTTTTTTTCCCTTCAAATTCAAGAGTTTGGTCAACGAAACGTCTAGTCCTTTTTAACCAGTTAATCGGAAAGTTAAAAGACCTTATATATAAATATTCAGTGTCAACTTCTCAAATAATACAAGATGGTCTTAAATATAGATTTTAATTTCCTTTGTACTGTTGTAGATTCTAATTTACTTTATACTGTTGTAGATTCTAATTTACTTTATACTGTTGTAGATTCTAATTTACTTTATATTGTTGTAGATTCTAATTTACTTAATACTGTTATAGATTCTAATTTACTTTATACTGTTGTAGATTCTAATTTACTTTATACCGTTGTAGATTCTAATTTATTTTGTACTGTTGTAGATTCTAATTTATTTTGTACTGTTATATATTTTAATTTACTTTATACTGTTGTAGATTCTAATTTACTTTATACTGTTGTAGATTCTAATTTACTTTATACTGTTGTAGATTCTAATTTACTTTATACAGTTGTTGATTCTAATTTACTTTATACTGTTGTAGATTCTAATTTACTTTATACTGTTGTAGATTCTAATTTACTTTATACAATTGTAGATTCTAATTTATTTTGTACTGTTATATATTTTAATTTACTTTATACTGTTGTAGATTCTAATTTACTTTATACTGTTGTAGATTCTAATTTACTTTATACTGTTGTAGATTCTAATTTACTTTATATTGTTGTAGATTCTAATTTATTTTGTACTGTTATAGATTCTAATTTACTTTATACTGTTGTAGATTCTTATTTACTTTATACAGTTGTAGATTCTAATTTATTTTGTACTGTTATAGATTCTAATTTACTTTGTACTGTTGTACATTCTAATTTATTTTGTACTGTTATAGATTCTAATTTACTTTATACTGTTATAGATTCTAATTTACTTTATACTGTTGTAGATTCTAATTTATTTTGTACTGTTATAGATTCTAATTAACTTTATACTGTTGTAGATTCTAATTTATTTTGTACTGTTATAGATTCTAATTTACTTTATACTGTTGTAGATTCTAATTTACTTTATACTATTGTAGATTCTAATTTACTTTATACTATTGTAGATTCTAATTTACTTTATACAATTGTAGATTCTAATTTACTTTATACAATTGTAGATTCTAATTTATTTTGTACTGTTGTACATTCTAATTTATTTTGTACTGTTATAGATTCTAATTTACTTTGTACTGTTATAGATTCTAATTTACTTTATACTGTTGTAGATTCTAATTTATTTTGTACTGTTATAGATTCTAATTTACTTTATACTGTTGTAGATTCTAATTAACTTTATACTGTTATAGATTCTAATTTACTTTATACTGTTATAGATTCTAATTTACTTTATACTGTTATAGATTCTAATTTACTTTATACTGTTGTAGATTCTAATTAACTTTATACTGTTGTAGATTCTAATTTACTTTATACTGTTGTAGATTCTAATTTACTTTATACTGTTGTAGATTCTAATTTACTTTATACTGTTGTAGATTCTAATTTACTTTATACTGTTATAGATTCTAATTTACTTTATACTGTTATAGATTCTAATTAACTTTATACTGTTGTAGACTCTAATTTACTTTATACTATTGTAGATTCTAATTTACTTTATACTGATGTAGATTCTAATTTACTTTATACTGTTGTAGATTCTAATTTATTTTGTACTGTTGTAGATTCTAATTTATTTTGTACTGTTATAGATTCTAATTTACTTTATACTGTTGTACATTCTAATTTACTTTATATTGTTGTAGATTCTTATTTACTTTATATTGTTGTAGATTCTTATTTATTTTGTACTGTTATAGATTCTAATTTACTTTGTACTGTTGTACATTCTAATTTATTTTGTACTGTTATAGATTCTAATTTACTTTATACTGTTATAGATTCTAATTTACTTTATACTGTTATAGATTCTAATTTACTTTATACTGTTGTAGATTCTAATTTATTTTGTACTGTTATAGATTCTAATTTACTTTATACTGTTGTAGATTCTAATTTACTTTATACTGTTATAGATTCTAATTTACTTTATACTGTTGTAGATTCTAATTTATTTTGTACTGTTATAGATTCTAATTTACTTTGTACTGTTGTACATTCTAATTTACTTTATATTGTTGTAGATTCTAATTTACTTTATATTGTTGTAGATTCTAATTTATTTTGTACTGTTATAGATTCTAATTTACTTTGTACTGTTGTACATTCTAATTTACTTTATATTGTTGTAGATTCTAATTTACTTTATATTGTTGTAGATTCTAATTTATTTTGTACTGTTATAGATTCTAATTTACTTTATACTGTTGTAGATTCTAATTTACTTTATATTGTTGTAGATTCTAATTTACTTTATATTGTTGTAGATTCTAATTTATTTTGAACTGTTATAGATTCTAATTTACTTTGTACTGTTGTACATTCTAATTTATTTTGTACTGTTATAGATTCTAATTTACTTTATACTGTTATAGATTCTAATTTACTTTATACTGTTATAGATTCTAATTTACTTTATACTATTGTAGATTCTAATTTACTTTATACTGTTATAGATTCTAATTTACTTTATACTGTTATAGATTCTAATTTACTTTATACTATTGTAGATTCTAATTTACTTTATACTGTTGTAGATTCTAATTTATTTTGTACTGTTGTAGATTCTAATTTATTTTGTACTGTTATAGATTTTAATTTACTTTGTACTGTTGTACATTCTAATTTTCTTTATACTGTTGTAGATTCTAATTTAGTTTATACAGTTGTAGATTCTAATTTACTTTATACAGTTGTAGATTCTAATTCACTTTATACTGTTGTAGATTCTAATTTATTTTGTACTGTTATAGATTCTAATTCACTTTATACTGTTGTAGATTCTAATTTACTTTATACAGTTGTAGATTCTAATTCACTTTATACTGTTGTAGATTCTAATTTATTTTGTACTGTTATAGATTCTAATTTACTTTATACTGTTATAGATTCTAATTAACTTTATACAGTTATAGATTCTAATTTACTTTATACTGTTGTAGATTCTAATTTACTTTATACAGTTGTTGATTCTAATTTACTTTATACAATTGTAGATTCTAATTTACTTTATACAGTTGTAGATTCTAATTTATTTTGTACTGTTGTAGATTCTTATTTTTTTTGGTGCTGTTATAGATTCTAATTAACTTTATACTGTTGTAGATTCTAATTTATTTTGTACTGTTATAGATTCTAATTTACTTTATACTGTTGTAGATTCTAATTTACTTTATACAGTTGTTGATTCTAATTTACTTTATACAATTGTAGATTCTAATTTACTTTATACAGTTGTAGATTCTAATTTATTTTGTACTGTTGTAGATTCTTATTTTTTTTGGTGCTGTTATAGATTCTAATTTACTTTATACTGTTGTAGATTTTAATTTACTTTATACTGTTGTAGATTCTAATTTACTTTATATTGTTGTAGATTCTAATTTATTTTGTACTGTTATAGATTCTAATTCACTTTGTACTGTTGTACATTCTAATTTATTTTGTACTGTTATAGATTCTAATTTACTTTATACTGTTATAGATTCTAATTTACTTTATACTTTTATAGATTCTAATTAACTTTATACTGTTGTAGATTCTAATTTATTTTGTACTGTTGTAGATTCTAATTTACTTTATACTGTTGTAGATTCTAATTTACTTTATACTGTTGTAGATTCTAATTTATTTTGTACTGTTATAGATTCTAATTTACTCTATACTGTTGTAGATTCTAATTTACTTTATATTGTTGTAGATTCTAATTTACTTTATATTGTTGTAGATTCTAATTTATTTTGTACTGTTATAGATTCTTATTTACTTTGTACTGTTGTACATTCTAATTTATTTTGTACTGTTATAGATTCTAATTTACTTTATACTGTTAAAGATTCTAATTTACTTTATACTGTTGTAGATTCTAAATTATTTTGTACTGTTATAGATTCTAATTTACTTTATACTGTTGTAGATTCTAATTTATTGTGTACTGTTATAGATTCTAATTTACTTTATACTGTTGTAGATTCTAATTTACTTTATACAGTTATAGATTCTAATTTACTTTATACTGTTGTAGATTCTAATTTATTTTGTACTGTTATAGATTCTAATTTTCTTTATACTGTTGTAGATTCTAATTTATTTTGTACTGTTATAGATTCTAATTTACTTTGTACTGTTGTAGATTCTAATTTACTTTATACTGTTGTAGATTCTAATTTAGTTTATACAGTTGTAGATTCTAATTTACTTTATACAGTTGTAGATTCTAATTTACTTTATACTGTTGTAGATTCTAATTCACTTTATACTGTTGTAGATTCTAATTTAGTTTATACAGTTGTAGATTCTAATTTACTTTATACAGTTGTAGATTCTAATTTACTTTATACTGTTGTAGATTCTAATTCACTTTATACTGTTGTACATTCTAATTTATTTTGTACTGTTGTAGATTCTAATTTACTTTATACAGTTGTAGATTCTAATTTACTTTATACTGTTGTAGATTCTAATTCACTTTATACAGTTGTAGATTCTAATTTACTTTATAATGTTGTAGATTCTAATTTACTTTATATTGTTGTAGATTCTAATTTACTTTATACTGTTGTAGATTCTAATTTTTGTTGGTGCTGTTATAGATTCTAATTTACTTTATACTGTTGTAGATTCTAATTTACTTTATATTGTTGTAGATTCTAATTTTTGTTGGTGCTGTTATAGATTCTAATTTACTTTATACTGTTGTAGATTCTAATTTACTTTATACTGTTGTAGATTCTAATTTACTTTATATTGTTGTAGATTCTAATTTACTTTATACTGTTGTAGATTCTAATTTTTGTTGGTGCTGTTATAGATTCTAATTTACTTTATGCAGTTGTAGATTCTAATTAACTTTATACTGATGTAGATTCTAATTTACTTTATATTGTTGTAGATTCTAATTTACTTTATACTGTTGTAGATTCTAATTTTTGTTGGTGCTGTTATAGATTCTAATTTACTTTATACTGTTGTAAATTCTAATTTACTTTATACTGTTGTAGATTCTAATTTACTTTATACTGTTGTAAATTCTAATTTACTTTATACTGTTGTAGATTCTAATTTACTTTATACAGTTGTAGATTCTAATTTATTTTGTACCGTTGTAGATTCTAATTTAATTTGTACTGTTATAGTTTCTAATTTACTTTATACTGTTGTAAATTCTAATTTACTTTCTACTGTTATAGATTCTAATTTACTTTATACTGTTGTAGATTCTAATTTATTTTGTACTGTTATAGATTCTCTTTTAAAAAAAAGTTCAAAAATGTGATTCGGACGCACTTAGTGTTGTTTCATTTTGTATACCCTTGTATTTTGTTTTTACTTAATTTGTACTTTTTTATGTCATTATCTTTTACTATACTGCACAATCAACCACAAAAACTTTTTTGTTGAAGGTTTTGTCAAATTTATTAGTATGTTTGGATTTTTAAGACAGTTTTGTTGCATATTTTCAATGTACATGTATGTTTACTCATTTTGGGTGCTGGGTCCCAATTATCCTCATGTTAACTAATTATGTCTGCTTGGGTTGCTCACACAATTTGTCAATATAACGGATTTATTAACATCTGGAATACAAGTGGGAGGTTTACTCCTGCATTTTATTCAGAAAGTGTCTGTTCCAAGTCAGGAATATTACATTCGTTCTATTGGTTGATATAGTCGATCATAGTCGAGTGTCAGGCTTTATGAACTCTCCCTTCTGGAATTTACCTTTGAGTTCGGTATTTTTGTTAACACATTTTTATCACAATATTACCTCGTAAATTCCGCCTGTATATTTAACAAAATATGAACTGAAAGTATTTCTGTGTTCGAAAACAACATATATATCATTAGGTGATGGATAGAAAGTTGTCGCTATTGTTGCATTCCACTTCTCGAAATCAGAGTTACAAGCTTTTGCAGGTACTATATTCCAAACGTTATAACGAACTAAAAAATAATAATTATAACAATCAAAACAATTTTAAAATAAAAAAGTTCAATACACTTGTATTAACAATCAGATTAATGACATATAAGTGAACAAACAATGATTGTATACAAATAAAGTATTTTAAGCTCATTTCTTGCCAAGAAGCAAAAAAGATACCAAAGGGATATTCATAGTCAAAAACACAATAAACTGACAATTCCATGGCAGAAAAACAAAAGGCGATCAAAAGACAATATGGAATGTTTTACTTGATACTGTTAAATATTACTATGTATTGGTTTAAAATTTAAAATGACCATTTTATTTAAACTTATTTTTCTATTTTGATATTTATGATACTTTTTGTTTTAATAGTAGCTATAACATGGACATTTAGATCTAATACAACATCGAAATTTGATGTACATGTGCCAAGTATAAGGAATCTACTTAGGTTGATCGATGATATTAAGTGTCTCTTTGTTTATTGGTAAAATCGGTGATTAATGTTTTATTAGTTTGCTAACAATTTGTCAAACTCAAACTCATTTATATAAATAAGGAGATGAGGTATGATTGCCAATGAGATAACTATCCACCAAAGTTCAATAAAGTGGATGTAAGCAATTATAGGCAACCGTACGGCCTTCAACAATGAGAAAACCCCATATTGATAGTCGGCTGTAAAAGGCCCCGGCATGAAAAATATGAAACAATTACCTTATTTCATATCTATATTTTATACATATTTTTTGTTTGTTCGATGTTAAACGTCCAGCGGCAAATATTACATAATATGCAGGACAATTACATGTTAATGAATTAGATTAACCTCATTTTATTTAAACTTCAGAATTAATGCTGAGTTTATCTTTATTTTATATTAATTTTTTGTTTGTTAAATTGTGTTCACATCTTGTAATGTATTTGCATTGTGTATTCATATATTTATATTTCATGTATCCTCTTGTTTTGTATTTAATGCCGTAGATGGTTCATCAACGTAGAAACTGCACACGATAAAAAGAGAAACATGTACATTTATAAGTTTTTCAGAAGAATGCGATTAGAATAATAGAACAAATAACAGATAGAGCTCATTACTTAATTGAAAGATAAATTACCTGGAACTACACTAACTGTATATGTCAAACTACTCAGTGAACAAGTGGAATGACTGCATTTAAAGTACTTTGAATAGTAAGTACTATTCATAGTTATACTGGTAAGGGTTATGGTGTAAATCTTTTTATCACCTCCACAGTCATCCAAACCATAAAGGCAAGGATAAGCAACAGGAATCTGGAATAATATTAAGTCTTCATTTTTATAATATAAAAACGAAAACATAAATGATTGACCAATTCAAAATTAAATCTTATTAGTTTATGTACAAAAAGTAATTTGACAGTGTGTGCCACAATTTTAATAATATTTGTAAACAGTTGCAATTTGAGTAATGACATTAACGGCATTGACGGTAACAATATAATACATCCGATACGCATTTCTACAATAAAGGTCCACTCAACTTGAGGCCAACCATTTTCAAAATGCAAAAACGTAATAAAAACTTTATGTATTAGATACACCGATGAGGGCGTTAGCCCGATTGGGTGTATCTAATTTACATCAAGATATCAAATAATTTAGAAGGGGGGTCTTTCAGCAATTTGACCATATGCTATTGAAAAGCATGATAAATGCAGGGTATCCAATTTCATTTAACCACATCGTGGTGTAAGTGGTGATAAGAAAAAGGACTATTAGTATAGCCAAACCCTGACAAGGAATCGGAGCTATTCACAAGGGAAATATGTTCCTGAATTTGAAATAATTAAAAAAAAAATTACAGTATCAAATTTCAATAAAACAATATCCTTCTTTTTATAGGCTGGTGATACCATCGGGGACTAACAGTAAAAAATTTAAAACAACACGTTTAATAATTTCATGCGTCCGAAGCTATCCAGCAGAGGTATTGACCCAGTGGTAGTTATAACCTTGCCGTAACCAATTTTACCGCACTGTATGCGCATTATAAAAATATACAACTTCTAATCTTACACATAACAGTAAAGGTCAAATCATGTGCATCTAATTGGATATATTTTAAGAGGCATTAGCTACGATTTAGACAAAAATTAAACATTTTTATTTTTTGTCATACATTTATGAAAACGGAATTTTGAAATAATTTTTCGCTATAAGCAGTCAGTTTGGTTCAATTTTATCCAAATAACCTCAAAAATATCGTTGATGTATTATTGGCTTGCAAGTCAATAATTCAACATCATTTGAATCAATATTCATGCAAACTTCAATTTGACCCTTATCTATAAATGGGTTACGCATGTATTAAACATGTTGAGGTATTAAAGATAAAAGAATGTCAGCACTGAAAAGTGAAAAAGGTAGCAACCAGGAAGAACCATTTTGTTGATGGAATCAACCCACAAAAATCATTCTTTTACAGGTAAAACGATGATTTACATTTTTTTTAAATCCATGGAATGAAATCAAACGCCCCTATAAAATTGTCATCATACGATTCATATATATATTAATATCGGATTAGAAACCATCAGAATTCATTGGAAGTCATCTCGATGGTTAATTAGAAGACGTCTTGTCTAAAATTCGCACGACATGAATCCTAAGGACAATTGAAAGATGGATAGAAATATGGTCATTTGGTATTTCTCCGACCTGCAGTAAAACCCTTGCCTAAGTGGGGCGTCTGTTTGGTTGTGCAGAATGTATAAATTTGCAGCCACGTCCGGTCAGAATGAAGAAAGATTCCTTGCAACTATTCATTGAGGGGTCCGTAGGTGGTCTGTTGCAAGGTTAAATTTCAGTTCAATTTTCCCTCATTTTCAAGTGACAATCCAAAACATCCCGCCCTTTATCCCGGTCTAACTCGTTTACAGGATCTAACTATTATATATATTATTTGTTTGTTCTCGTCCTGGGCATGCGCGAAATATTTACCATTCGACGTTAAGCAACCAACAAACAATCAGTCACATGAAATGCTGTTACATTAAAACGAGTCCATGTATGGTAAATTGTTTCTTTTGGAATCTGTAATATTTCACACAATTAAGAAGTCAAGCAATTTTAAAATCATTACATAGATTTAGAAAATAGATCGTAATTTCAAATCAAGGATGATCAACATAAAATATAAAACCGAATGATTTCTCTATCCCCCTTCCCCCAAAGAACCTTACTACGGATTGAATCCACAATAACGAATTATGACATTTTTGGTAGGTGCTAAATGGTGCGTTTTGATATTTTGTTGATTTGCAGTCCTTTCTTTGCTAGTCAAAAAATGATTGTGCACGCACAAAATAGTTTTAAGAGTAAAAAAAAACAGTTTGCAGATTCTGCAATATATGCCATTGGAAAATTCAATACGAAAAAATTAACGGACTCGTACCAAAATTAAAAAAAAAAAATTAATGTATATACTTTAACAAAACTCCGCACAGATATCAGGTTTATTATGTTGGACGTTTGAATTTTTGTTTCGTCTTTATCAAACTCATCATTTGTAACGGTCGAATAAAAAAGAAGGAAGGAAAATCAAGGAGCTTGTAAAACCAAAAAATCCATAATTTTGTTTCAAATATGACTCAGGCCATCGATTACTGCTGGTAAAAACATAAGGTTTGGAATAATTTAATATTTTAAAAACAGTTATAAGACGAAAGGATGGTGTCAATGAAAAAAATATCTCAACACAGGAGTGCAGGCTACTCGGCTGGTGATAACCTTAGGGATGAAACGCCAATCTGCAATGGCTTTGACTAACTGGTTGTAAAAATTCATGATGCATAATGCGCGCTTTGTTCATATAGAACTCTTAAATCATGACATTTTGCATTACTGGAGGAGTTAAGTTCATAAAAAGCTTTTAGAAATATAGAGGCATAAACGTTTGCAGGTATTGAAACTGAAAATACTTACTGGTTTTTCCACATCATACGAGTCTGGAATATATTTAGAAAAGTTGAAGATTCGGTAAATTCTGCCATTTTCAGCTTTATTCTTTTGTACACTATAAGCCTGGTCGATGAATTTTTTGTAAGCCTGGTTTTGTAATACCGGGCTTTCAAATGTTAGGAGTATGGCTTTTGTTTCTGAAATGTCAGTTCATGTTAATTTTCTGGTTAAATTTGTAATATTGGCATATGTTTCATAAAATAAGATATTAGGATTAATAAAAATGTATCGATCTTAAGTGAGAGGGAAGTTCAAAACTAAATATTCGAACTGCACAAAATCCAGTCTAGAAAAACACCGTTTGTTTATTTGTTGAAATTGAACTTTGAACTACTGTATCTATTTGTATTCGTATACCTTTGTGTTTTTTTTTTTACTATTTGGTCTGTGTGCTTGGTACCAGTCAGAATAATGAAGGCCTTTCTAAATGTTTGTTCTGATGTTGGTTTGTTAATTCTAGGTCCCTAGTCAGTGGAAGGATTAACCGTTGACACACATGTTTAACCCCACCATCTTCATTTTGTGCCTGTCCAAATCCATAAATCTTTTATGACCTGGTTGTCGTGTTTGCTACATTTCATTTATGTTTTAAGTATTAATCATACGAAATTTTAACCTTTTGTCAACCTTTAATAGCTCACCAGGTAATGGGTTTTGCTCGTTATGGAATGCCTTACGTTGGTCTGGAATTGTTCACATCTAGATCCATTGGACTTTTTTGGATAGTCGTCTCATTGGCAAATACACCATATCTCCATGTTCTCTCTCTTTCTTTTAGAGTCACGCCTTTTCAGTTTATGGAATTATATTTCAACTTGCAGTACATTCTCATACTAGTAGCTCATATGAAGTATTAATGAATGCAGTTTTGCAATATGTATCTAACTTTTTTTTTAAACTAAGTAGTATTTTTTCCAGAGATATTTCTATATCAATGTTTATCTTTTTTTAAATAAAATTTCTTGTTTATTTCAAGTTGTTCGTGCAACGTTCAGAAAACTTCCGTTAAAGTACTCTTAGTCGATTGCAATACATTTTTCTTCCCTTCAAATACTAGTAGATAGAGCTTGTTTTCATGCATACTATAACTTACTATTTTTTACTCGTATATACTGATTTTTTTGTAACTTCAGTAAATGAAGTTTTCTTTTATCTTTACCTGGTAAGCTGGGTTTTCCTAAAAACTTAATTTTGAAAGAAACATTAAGTGCAGGACTGAATGATTTGTTGTCTTTATAAGGAAGTGGATACAAGGCGATGTTAGTCAAAATAGGCGGCTTGAATAGTTCGGACGCTGTGTTATTTAAAAGTGATGCAAATTCTAATCCATGTGTTTGACTAAAGTCTTGCCATTCTACAATAAATGATCAAAGCATAAACAATTAATCATACATAGATAAATATCACATATATTCTTATACGCTGGTCTAACGAATAAAGAAACACGTAAAATCCATTGGACTACTTTGCTCAATAAAATTGTTAAATCTCAACACATATTGATTTGCAATTTCCCAAGTCATGAACCTCCTAAGTGGTAACCTTATGTTATACCTTAACGTTTACATGTATTAATGTACTTTAAGTAATTTTTATTGATAGTAGGTCTTTAATTTTCCGGTTTTTGTGTCGTGTAGCTAAATTCTTTTATTAAAAACACCCAAACTGATCGATTTTCGTTATCTTTTTAGATAAGCACATTGAAGTACCAAAAGGTCGACGCAAGAGCCTGTCATAAACTTGACTATTGTGTTTGTCTATAAAAAAAACCAACAACATTTCTATGATAAAGATTACGTAATTTAGTGCATGAACTAAATTTTTCATGCAAACGAATACATGTCGATTTATTATTTTTTAAGAATAATATAATTGAACCATCTTACGATATTGTAAGTTAATAGATGACCGTATAATTAAGACTACACATACCATTAAACATTCGATATGCAAATTTCAAGCTATTTTTTTAATAGTATTTCATGTAAAATTTAGAATTAGACACATATTTTTAGGGATTTAGTGATCCGCAAAAATTCTGTTACCTAAATTTATCATGGTAACGTACTTTTTGTTATAATAAGTAATATTTATATTTTTTTCATTTTTTTTCAACAAAACTTCCCATCATACATCAGAGGTCCCGCCCACATCAACTTCACACCCCTTTTTATGCTGCTTTTTCATAAAGTGTTTAAGGTAGAGTGGACCATTGTATTCGTAATGTTGAGGTTGTCTCTTTGATGTTCTTTTGTGGGTTTTTTTCCGGTGAGTGAACTTTTGTTTAAATTTTTAATGGTAAGCATTTTTTACAAACCCAAATATTAAGATGTTATGTAAGATGAGTAAGAAGTAAATGGTAAAATGTCTTAATAGCATCACGGAAGACATTTATAATAATATTTCTCATTTGCTCATTTCAGACAGATCCTTCGATAGTCCGATAGTAATGTGATGTTCTTAAGATTAACCATCAGACATGTTTTGTTGAAAAGAGATACCTGATGTTCTACAAATTTAACAAAGATTTCACAGATATTCGTATATTTACACCAGTTATACAGGGTAGTCTGTTATATTTGACTGAACATGAACTAAAATTGCGTTGGTTTTCGTAACTTGTTGACTTATGAAATAAACAAAACAAACCTGTGTTATAACCAATATTACAAGTAAACTGTTCACCATGGGGAATCCGAGGCTGAAGAATATAAAACAGAATTGTAATAATTATTCTTTAAAAACAGAATTAACCAAAAAGCTCTTGGGAAAAGAAACGAATTGGTTTTCAGATGTTTTGTGATTTAAGTAATTGGTTTTAGGTTTAAGGCACAGTGTATGCCTGTTCTGTTGTAATATCTAAACAATTCAAAATTCAGTTTGAAATAAAAGGAAATTAGAAAATGATCTTATAAATTATTAAATAGTTCAAACCAATAAAAACAAGTTTCATTAAATGAAATTTTATCTAAAATAAATAGAATTTGTTACGTTTTAAGATTTGGGAAAATAAAATTGGTTATAAGCTTTAAAATTCATTAATACGGAACACATGGAAACAGTTTGTGTTCGTAAGAACTGCATAAAAATAAAATTTAAAATTTAATGATTTTTGTACAATCCAGAATACAGATTTTAGTAGGTTTTCAGCAATAGGTCACCATTGAAAAAAAATACCACAGACTGAAATGGCAAATTCTGTGATGTTGACTTTATATAACTGAATATGTTTTAGAAGGCAATATACGTTTTGGGTATCTGTAAATTATGTGATCTTACTAGAGTAAAATATCGTATTTCTACCATTTGTGCTGCATAAAATTTAATGTAGTTCCCCGATATCATTCGACAAATGTCTTAAAACAAAAAGACAAATACGATGTAAAAGTAATCGGAAACAAACAAACTATAAACCCAACAAGACCAGAAGAGTTTCTAGAACAAAACAATTATATTTAAAACTTACGCAAACATATTATGCATGACAAAGACCTTTAAAATTTGAAGGCTCACTTGACAATGAGAATTGGCAACCACTTGGTCCGTCCTGAACAATAAATACGCTAAATTAGATATTTTATTTGTTTTGTAAATGACTTGGTGAATTTCAAGTTTGATAAAATCTACATATTACATCGTTCCAATTATTGAATGGCTGATTCTTGTACTTCCTTAAATGACGGAAATTTATATGTAATATAGTACATTGTCTCGTGATAGATATCTAATAATCACATGGACATGTTTTGCAGATAATTTTAATGGTCGGGAAAATCTAATCTTTTCGCCGATCAAAAGAAATATGCTTTTGCTATTTCTTCCGGATCAGACATATTTTGGAGATATAACTATAAAAAAAAGTTAAAAAGATATTACATTGAATACGAATAAAACCACTGATAACCACGGGGTTCGAACTCACAACCTCAGTGTTGACTGGCTAGTGATTACAGTAGTAACTACTTAGACCACTCGGCCACCGAGGCCCCTGTATATAATTTGATTGAATCTGTATAAATTTTACCACTATCATCGTTTAAATATTATTTGTGCTATACGTAAATCTAAATGCGACTCATGGGTTTTGCAATATGAATTAATATTTGCAATATGAATTAATATTAGCAATAAAGATATAATGCGCAAGGAGCAGAAGTCAGTCATTAATTGCGAAATGTATTAAAATTTGTTGACAATAACATCTGGACAATAACTTTTATTACAACGTTCACTTTATGTAAATCGGCTGTATATAAAATATTGATAATTCGAAAAACTAAGGTTTTTTTTTACCCCAAGGCATGTATAGCTTCAGCCGCAATTGGTAAACTTTTCAAAAGTTTTGGCTTTCAAAGCTCTTTTCGAACTTGATTTGGCCTTCCAACTGTTTTTATTCGAGCAGGAATGATGAGACTAATGTAGTCAAAACGCGCGGCTGGCGTATTAAATTATCAGCCTGGTATCTTTAATCAGTGTTAAATGCATTCATTCATTTAACATACTAAAGCTAAGGTAGCAACTTAATCAGAAAAAAGTTTCCGATTTGACAATCTCTGCTGTTCTGTTTAAATCCTTGTTTTCATCTTCGTGCTCTCAAACGTTTTGTAATTTTGACTTTCCAAACACTCGGTTTGGGTGTAACATTTAAATATTTCTGAACTCCATATTATACCCTTTTTGTGTAACTTTGAATTTGCATTTATGAGATTAAGTCAAAGGAATGACACTGATAGAGGATATGTGTTATGCCAAAATATCTGGCAATACTGTTTACATTATTTATCTAATAGGATCACAAACATGTTTAACGTCGCCACATTCTATATGTTGAAATGAAGCTTTTGCTTTTGAGGAGTAAGGCAAACCAACTAAGTGCTGAATTTTTCAAATTGTACAAAAGTTGAATATTATCTATTACCTTCAATTAGTGAAAATTATATTATCAAATCCGAGTAATGTTCATGCTTAGTAATGTGTGATTTGATTTACCTTATTAAATGATGTTGCATTGAAAACTGTAAAAAGAGTTCGAAGTACAATTGTTGCATCGGATATACAGACAAACAAAAGGACTGTGCAATTCTTGTCAAACTCCAAAGAATATTTGATTCCAATTTAGATAAGACAAATTTAAGCAATCAAATTTTATTTTGAAAAAAATGCGTACAATGCATTTTAATGGATTTGGTACGTCGATAATATTTTTGAAATTGACATCATGTCTTCAAATGACATTTACGCTCGAATTTCTGAATTTCAATGATAGTAATGCGTCATTTACTTTGGGTTTTTTTGGTCAATATACCCATTTTGGATAATATTAGCTCAGTTAAATTGCTGCTGAATTTGTTGTTTAAAGTTTTTGTTTAAACGTATGATGCTTAGTCTTTATGGTGTGATGTTTATGACCTGTGTAGTGCACTTTTATAAAAGATCAGGCATTATCCATTATTGCTAGTTCCCTAAGAGTCACACACCTACTATTACATATTTCGCTCTTCCTGGTTGAAAAAAAGACCTACGTAGGTTAAATATTAACAATAATTTTGAATCGATCAGGAAGCCCTTATACAAAATAGTTTACAGAAAATGAAATATATACTCAGAACACTAATATCTAATTACAGAAAAAAAATGTTTACCTAATATGGTTATTTAAAAAAAACGTATGACAAGTTTGCTTGATCTAAGGAATTTTAGAAATAGCTATGCTACAATCAAAATTTTAAGTTTTACACGAAAAGCGATCTTCAAATTACTTGAGACCACGCACTTACTTTTCAGAAAGAAGAAATCGCTATATTATTTTTATATTGAAATTGTGGAGGAAGAATAAAATGGAAAGTTAGTTTACAACGAATACTTCCTCAAGTAAATCTGTTTTTATCTCCATCAATTATATTTACAAAGCACTAGTCACTTTATTATATTGTGTCGAAACACATATTAAAAGAAGGAAGAACATAAGATAAATTATATAAAAGTTTATTTTCAGATATTAGAAAGAAAGAAAACATTAAATATATACGAAATTTATCAAAACGTTTATAAAAATAAGATGGGATATGTTTTATAGTAATTCAGTGATATCTGCGTTGTCAATTTATTTTGTAAAAACACTATTTAGATAAACAGAATCGATAATTGGGCTATTTATATTTTTATCATTTGAATTAAACAGCGTTTGAACCATGAAAAATAGGTGTAGCGCATACATATGTGTTTGCCTTATGCTCAAGAAAGAAACTGTGTGAGTAAATGCAAAGGTATAGATGCCCTTGATATATAGCATGTTTAAAAATTGTATATAAGAATAGTAAATTGGCTGATTGGACGTTTTACCATGCATACGTAATATGCAGATATTTTGTTGATAGAAACATGTATAACATTCTATAATTACATAATAAATAATATGTATTATAACCAATTTCACATGTTTTTATACCATAAAGTACATCATTTAAAGGAGATACGGAAGATCACCAAGGGGACATTCAAACTTAGAATTAAGTACATAATAAAACTTTAGAGTTGTACTTTTAGTTTTATATTGTTATGCAAAAATAAACATATCAATTTTATCTAGGGTATAATAAATTGAAATACTAACACATTTGTACTGCAAGTACGTAATTTAGGAAAATAAATCAATAACGCAGACGTTTTTTATTATCCAAAATATTTTGAGTAATCAAATCAAGTGGTCTAGCGCATGTTACGTTGAAGAAATGTCTTTCATTTGTGTTTTCTGCTTATTGACGAAATATAGAATAGTATACAGTAAAATTACAAAAATATACCGAACTCCAAGGAAAATTCAAAACGGAAAGTCTCTTATCAAATTGCAAAATCAAAAGCTCAAACACATCAAACGAATGGAAAACAACTGTCATATTCCTGTAACATATACTCTTTATATCTTCAAATTTTAAAGTAAAGTGACCATCAATTCAGTTGCATTCAATTTCCTAACCTCTTTTTTTAGCATTCGAAATGTTAAATCACAGCCGATATAGAATCCAGTGGTATCAAATCCAATCCAATCCCAGGAAAATATTTATCACAATAGGACATAAACACACATATATATATATAAAATTGCATAAATTAAAATGTTACTAATAATTAAATAAATAAAAATCAACACCGAGCAATCAAATGTAAAAAGAAGAAGAAAAAAGAAAAAAAAACATGAGAATTTATCTAACACTACTTGTTGTGTGAGTAGTTATAATAAATTAAATGTGTGAAATCTCTGACTTTCTTGATAAATAGAACTTGTACTTTTTGAAGGTTATAGATAATATTCAACTTTTGTACAATTTAAAAAATTCAGCACTTAGTTTTGGATTCAAAGTATTTTGGCATCGCGCATCACTGAAAAGACATTTATTGTCGAAATGCGCATCTTGGGCTTGGTGTTCGAAAGTATCATAAGATATACCATAAAACATATCTTAGGACAAATTTTATGACCATCTTATGACTATCATATGATATGTCACAGAATGTAAATCAAAGCTGTCCTAAGATGATCATACCTATGATGTTCTGATGACTGTCATAAGGGAATATATTTTATTCCATTTGGAAGGAATAATGATTAAAAAATAATAAGTATGAAAATAATTATTATTACCATACTTTTTACCAATATTTTGTTTTCTTCAGTATAATGAACATGTAATTCTATATATA